TATCCTTGAGTTGAAATGGAAAGGTGTTAAGGAGTGTAAGAGCCTTTATAGCCATGCCAAGGCTTAAAGGTTTCGACTTTATGAGTAAGGATGCTTAAATAAAGCCGGATCTAGAAGTTGAAGTTATGGCTTAACCGATTAAGACCAGAAATGATGAATGCTTAGGTCTGATGGTTACGTTGGGCGTAACTCCCAGTACGCGCAGCGTATTGGGTGGAGACCCCGATTCTTGGGTTGGCGATGTACGCCCCGCGTACTGGAAGGTTGGCTTTTGTTGACTTTTAGGGTTTTGGTCAACATGTGGACTTTGAATCAAGGAAGGGTAAAATGGTCTTTTACCCTCTGAGGAATGATGATAAGGGGTAAAGTCTAGTTGTGGAAGTCTATATTAATTAAAATGATATTCGTTATGATTAGGCGGGGTTGAGTCTTCGTTGGGATTTGGAGATAGCGAGTACCCGAGATTCCAGACTTTCCACGAGGTGAGTTTTCTCACTATATTGTACCCGGAAGGGTTTTATTGTGTGACCGAAAGGTCGGATATGTTATGAGTTATATGCATTGTATATGATAAGTTAATCATTTATATGTGCTATGTATGATATGCTTGATATGGGCCGGAAGGCATTATGTTATGGGCCGGAAGGCGTATATGTTATGGGCAGGAAGGCGTTGTGATGTGGACCGTAAGGTTGACGCAGGTAGGACCGGAAGGTTTATCGAGTCGGGACGGAAGTCCCCTGAGACACATGGACCGGAAGGTCAGGGCCTGGAAAGGCGTATGCGCGTAAATAATATTTTGGGGAACTCACTAAGCATTTATGCTTACAGTTGTTGTGTTATGTGTTTCAGGTACTAGCGAGGATCGTGGGAAGGCACCGGCGTGATTTGTACACACTGACGAAGGAACTGTTTTATGATCATGGGATGTATTTTGTTATAATGACATTGTTACATATGTGGTTTCAGAATATTAAATGATGGTTTTGATGTTTGCAAAAATGAAAATTTTGTATTGAAAATTCACGTTGTTACAGTTACACTCTTGCTTTGTGGATACTTGTAGAGAACTCTTAATTTAGAGTTTCATGCCACACTTCATCAACTTCCAACTTTGATCCTCCCATGTAACGTCTGGTTTCCTGGTATGCAATTAATTTAATTATTTATTTATTTTGAAAGAAGGAATCGACGAGTTGGTGGTCGTAACTTGTCGAGTAGAGGGTAGACTATCCGTGGGGTTTAAGCTATCTACTCAGTGAGTCGAGGTCCCTGACTCGATGAGTAGCTCAGCCAGGGTGAAACCCTAATTTCAGGTTTTTGCACCCTATTTAAGCATCTTATTCGACCTTCACCCCAGCCTTCATCACCTCCACACCCTACTTTCAAAACCCTAATCAACCTTGTGGGTTCTTAAGCTATTTTTCTTGCCATTTTATGATTTGAAGCTAGAAGGAGAAAGGAAAGGCTAGAAGATCCAAGGAGAAGGCAGAAGATCTAGAGCTTGGGTTGCATTTCAGACTTGTTAGAGGTATAAAGCTTGTACCTAAGCTCCATTTCACTTAGATCTTCATTTAAGCTTGCTTGTTGTCACTCTTGGCCATTTCCAAGGCTATTTTCGAGTTTTGGGCTCTTGGTGGAGTTAGGACTTCAGATCTAGGCTCTCTTGAGCTTTAGAAGCTCGAAGTTGCCACCTTTGTTCAACCATGACCCTATTCCACGCATTAAGTCTTTATTTTAGTTTGGTTTTGATGTTTCAGCTTCATAACACCATGCATGCACGTAGAGTTAGCAACTTTACGTGTTATGTTAGCCTAAAGAGTCCAGATCTTTGAGTTTGTGGTATTAGAATTGATTAGAATTGACGGAACGAGTTTGGGTTTGAGGGGACTCGGCAAGTGAGATTGTAACTCTCTTCTGGCATGACTTTGGACCAACTCAGTGAGTCCAGGAGAGAGTTGGTCAAGGATTTTGAGTAAGGAAAATTGAGGAACTCGTCGAGTTCGAGGAGGTACTCTACGAGTTGTGAAAGAATTCGTCGAGTTGAAACAAGATCTTGGTGTGACGTGACTTTTGGAACTCTTGAGAGACAATTCGACGAGTCGATTCATTTTGTCCTGATCTTGCACAAGGCAGTACCCGACGAGTATGTGAACGGACTCGACGGGTTGGCTTGGTTTATTACAATGATGAATGGCATAGGAACTCGACGAGTTGGAAGGTAACTCAACGAGTTGAGTTGACTTTGACTTTGACCAGAGGGCATATCGGTCATTTTACCCTAAGCAAGATTGTCAAATTTTTTGACTAAGTATTATTGTATAGTGATAGCCGGGAGGTCGTGGGAGCAACCAACAAAGATTTTTCATGCACGAGTTCAACATCCAGTTTGAGATTTGAGTTTTCCTCTAGTAGAGCAGGTCAAAGGCACCACGGTCGGCCCGTATATGTTATGTGTATTATCAATAGTAGAGTGTGGGTGGGGCCCGTATCTCATGGAATTGTTTAAGTATAGTTATGTAACTATTTGATAGATATATTTTTTGTCTGTGTGATACTTATATGCATGTTAGCAGCGAAGTGTGTGCGGGGCCCAAATCTCCTAGACATCGGAGTTGTTCAATTAGGTGTCTAAGCCCATAACTATAATTGGTATGTACTTGACCTGAGAGTAGCATGGTCCATTTGTGTTGCATATCACCATGACAATTTGATATGATGGACTTTTGAGAAGAGGTAATTTATGATTTATTAATACATTATAAGTTCTAATATATTAATATGAAATCATATGATTTAATTAGTATTGATCAAGAATTAATTTGGAATTAATTTAATGATCAAAAGAGACTAATTAAATTAATGGGTACTAATTGTGTAAATTAGTTATATATGTATGTATGTATGTATGTATGTATGTATGTATGTATGTATGTATGTGTATATATATATATATATATATATATATATATATATATATTGGGCTTATGATACATGATGGACTAAGTTTATGGAAAAATCCATAAAGAGTTAGCCCACTTGATTCATGGATCATGAATAATAAGCCCAAGAGTATGGATTAGGGTTTACCCATGACTCTTGGATTCCTAACACATATATTTGACCCCATAGCTAAAATCGGATGCCCTAGTGTGCTCTTGGAATACACATAACCGATTTTGAGTGCAAAAAACTCTCTCAAAAGTCATCCTTTATCCTAGGTGTGTTGTGATTCCATTTTAGGCATTTATACTATTGGTGCTAAGTTCTTAATGGCCAAACATAACAAGTTCTATAAGCTACATAAAGAGGTAAACTCGTAACTAGTGTTTTATGTTGTTTATGTCATTAGTATGCTAGTTGTATGCTTAATGCTTTGGAAACAATATTGCATGTATAATTAGAGAAAACATAAATCCAAAGCTTTTAGGGTTATATGTGCACCATAAGATGTTGTAGTATACTAAAACCTAACAGGAGTGTGGGTGGGGCATGGATCTCCTAGACAACAGAGTGTAGGCGGGGACCAAATCTCCTAGACAGTGGAGTGTGGGCGGGGTCTGAATCTTCTAGACAGTGGAGTGTGGGTGGGGCCCGAATCTCCATGAGAGTGGGTGAGGCCCGTATATCCTAATTGCATATTATTTGTATGGTATGTGGTAGTTTAGGGGAGCTCACTAAGGTTGTGTTTACAGTATTCAGTTTTGGTTTCAGGTACTTCAGGTAGCAATGGGAAGAGCTCGGGATGGCTGCATGACACACACCAAAATTTTCAGCCTGGGATATTTTAGACTCTGATATTTGATAGATGAATTTGATACAGTATTTTGATATAATGTTTGAGATACACGTCATATGATTTTATTATGTTGCTTTATGAGTTATGGGTTCTTCCTAAATGATTTTAAAACGAAATTTTGGGACTACATTTTAGGGTTGTTTCAAGTTGGTATCATAGCCTTGGTTTGAAGGATTCGGGCACACTTTCGGGTGTGTTTGAACTCAAACTAAGGACTTAGTATGAACAATTAAAAAAAGAAAATCATTTTTACAAAAAGAATTTTGAAAAGAGAAAAAGGGTGTGATGAGAACTGCATGTTAGATTAGGACTAAGGAGCTAGGAAAGTTGCCTTATGTGCCTGATATACGTGTATCAACTCTATGAACTGCATGCTAGTACAGATTAGTCATTATGACAGTCTGATTAGAATAAGCTTGATTATGTGTACTAAATGCTCGAATGTTGCTTGCTTTGTGCTTTTAGGAGTTCCAGTTGTCTTTTACTGACTCGTAAATGAATATGTTAAGTTACATATTGCGAGGACTAAATAATTTCAGAAGGTTAGGTTTAGCCTTATTTCGCAGCTCTCCTTTGAGTCTAACCGTTGTAGGGTAGAACCTCTCATTTGAAGAATTATCTAGTCTTAGTGATATGTAATAATATTCGTGAGCAAGTTAGGGGAAGATAGTAAGGACTTCTTATGCAACTGATGGCGGAGAGTGGGATGGTGATTACCTTAGGACAAGCCTAGGATGAGACTAGTGCATGAAGCAATAGTAGTAGAAGGGATTTGGTGGAGTCAAGGTAGTTCTTGAGTAAAGTATGGATAGATGTGGAAGGTAGTATGAGCCCGTACTACTGAAAGCAGAGGATCCGTACTCGAGTCAAGGAAGGTTGAGAT